GGTCCCTCTTTAGGTTCCCAAATAAAAGGACCCTCAAAGGGACCCTGATTTAGAGAACTACCCTAAACCGTAAACCCCTAAACCCCCTAAACCCTACACCCTCTCAACCCTAATTGATTAGACCCCCCAAAACCCTAAACCCCTAAACCCTAAACCCTCTAAACCCTGATTAATTAGACCGCCTAAACCCATAAACCCCGTAAACCCTAAACCCTCTAAACCCTAATTGACCCCCTAAACCCTAACTTCTTTCAAGAACACCTCGGACGACTTCGGACCTCCCACATCGACTCGACGGACTCACATCTCGCGTCCGTGCGCTGCAGCAAAGCCTCAAGGGCCCAAGAGAAAGGCTTTGGGGTCTAGGGTTTAGGGTTTAGGGTTGAGGGCCCGAAAGGAAGGCACGAAAGTCCGAGAAGAAAAGAAAGCGAAGCAAGCTACCTATACTTAGTGTAGAAGCAGATTTGGGCAGCTCTCTAAATTAGAATCCCTTTTGGGGATCCTTTTTTACAAGGGTGCCGTACTATCTTTAGAGAACGACCCACCTGAAACTTCGAGTTGATGAACTTGTCCGTCTTGGCCTCGTTTGAACTGTGGCAGGATGCAGCGGATCCGGGCGGGTGACTCGATGACTATTTGACCGGTGGAACAGACATCTCTCATGCCATATCTGAGATCGCAGCCACCGCTGCAGTCGCTTCATCAACCTAAACCCGTATCAGGCCCAGGTGACCATGATTACTCTGTACCCATCATCCTTCGATCACGATGCATCCCCCTCTTACAGCACGAGCCTTGCATAGCCCTATGCGGCGAAGATCAGCGAAGCGACGCTTTACGTAGTGTGCCACTCGAATACCCTGATCTCGGCATAAGCACGACGGACACAAGTAAGGATCTTTCTGCAGTGGCATAAGGTTGGTGCCTTGGAAGCCATGGAATTCATCTTCGACGAAATGCCCTGCGCATGGCAGCATCATCGGCAGAAGAGCTTCACAAAGACCGACACGCCTGTCCAAAACACTTTCATGAAAAACTCGCCTGGTTGACTTCCTCCAGCTGATTGAGGCAGTTTCTTTCGAGCCGGTTGCCCACTTCCTGTGCCAGCTCTAGCCATATCGAGCTCGCGCTATGTCGTGCTTTGCTATGCCTGGACACTGCCGGTCTCGTCTTCCAGATGTCCCACAGAGTCCTGCCAGAAGGTTAGCCTAGGCTGTGAGAGCCTATGGCGAGCCATTCAAGCCATCAGTCGCTGTTTGAGAACGAACCGATTGATGGCACATGACTGAAGCTGACCTGCCATGGCAAATGTGACTGCCTCGAGGCTTCGAACGGATACTTGGAGATATGGAACGAACGTAGTCCTACCTCGTTTCCCTACACCAAAGCCTAACCCTAAGCAGGGCCCATGCCTTGAGGATGGCAAACTCTCGCAGAAGGTTTTGGAGAAGCATCGCGAGCCGAGCAAGCTCCTGCTCCACCTGCAAAAGCCGGCAAAACCCATGGAGCTGCAGCTACCGAAGTGTAGATTTAGAGCACATGGCACACCCTAGACCAGTAGCACTTGGGCTACTGCCCCCATACGGTAACAGTCTACAATAAGGACCACTGCTGAGGTCTTGTCTGTCTATATTCTAAAATCAACTGTCACTGAGTCGGGGGGCGTATTCACCGGAGCAACCCCTGCCTCCGCACCGGACCTTTGGCCGTAGAATGCATCCTGGCAATCTCCGGGGCCCGCCAGAGCTCAGATGCCAGAAAGAAAACAGAAGTTTAGCACGTACGATCATCAGACATTATGTACACTGCACACTATAACATAGTACAGTAAAAAGCTCATATAACATTCTATTCTGTATACCTAAACTCCTAAACCCTAAACCCTTAAACCCCTAAACCCCAAAACCCCTAAAGCCTAAAACCCTAAAACCCTGAACCCCTACACTCCGAACCCTCTTCTTTCACCATAAAAGAAGAAGTCAGACCCGGGCCATGCCTTCGACTCGAAGCCAAGGAGTAGGCCGTTGACCCCTCCCGAGAGACTCCAAAACCCCTTAAAAAAAGGAATATACCTTAAATCATATTAAGGATCCCTGCTATACTTTAAGGAATATGCCTTAGATTTTCATAGGATCCCTAATATGATTTAAGGTATATTCCTTAATTGAGGGGTTTTGGAGTCTCTGGGTCCCGAGACTGCGATCCGATGAGACACGAGAAAAACGGGATCCCAGGGATCTTTACTTAGGGTTTAGGGATTAAGGTTTAGGGGTTTAGGGTTTAGGGGTTTAGGGGTTTAGGGGTTTAGGGTTTAGGGGTTTAGGGCTTAAGGCTTAGGGTTTAGGGCTTAGGGTTGAAGGTGACTGTTGCTGTTGAGGTTTAGGGGTTCCCTTTAAGTTTTTTCTCTTGGGCTTTAGGGGTTCCTCTAAAGCTTGCATGACGCTAAACCCTAAACCCTAAACCCTAAACCCTAAACCCTTAGATTCTTAAGGAGTTCCTTTGAAGGTTAGCGGACGTCTTTTCAGGGGACCACGCCTGGACGATGTTGGAAGCTTGGGACTTCATCTTTTTCCTCGCAGGACGGACAGGCTTAGGGTTTAGGGTTTAGGGTTTACTGTAGGGTTTAGGGTCTAGGGTCTACTGTGCGGTTTAGGGTTTAGGGTCTACTGTAGGGTTTAGGGTTTAGGGTTTCTTGACTCATCACAACAGCAGCGTAGGGCCTGCGCTGAGGGTTTAGGATTTCAGGGTTTAGGGTTTGGGGTCTACAGCACGAGAGGAACAAGTCAGCGGGCCACTAGCCGGATTACACGGTCATCTCTATGGATTTAAACTGTGAACTCCACTGACGGGCGATCGAGAGGCCCCCACACTCTCGGTGCATCATCATGAAAAGCAGCTTCTCGAACCGAAGTCTGATGATGAACGATCTTGTGTTATTGTGCCATACTGTAGAATCATAGAATATCAAGCACTCTATGAATATATTATGTGTTACGATTGAATTTGATCATAAAATGTACAATATTGTATGAACATAATAGTGTAATACTGTCGCATATTTTGCCCACTGCGGAAAAGCCTCGGTTCTTGAACTCCTGAAAGAAATCCCAGCTCAGCAGGGAACCATATTCTTTAACATATACTGTAATGCTATGAAGTACTGTACCATGATATAGAAGAGTGATACAGTATGCTGCGTTGTACTATACTGTAGAATAGTGAAGATGATACTAGACGAGAGAGAGAAAGAAAGATATGATATTGTATCATGTTCCATTCTATTCGGTATAAAGAAATACTCTGTATAAAGAAGTATTATGTTTCAGCAATCCTTGGCCCCTTGGAGTGCATTCAGTATATGCGGCTAACACTGCACAGACAGTACCGCATACACATGGCATGCCCAAGGCACCAAATTGAACTCAACATCACCCCTGCCTGAAAATTCTTCGTCGAATTTTGCACACAGTATCCTATAGTCTAGTATACCATGCTATACTATGACGATACTAGACTACATTGTACTAGCCGAAACTATACTATAATAGATTATACCAAACTAGACTTTACAGTAGACACGAAACTATATACCATATACTATACTATATATTAATATACTAGATACTTCTATATACTATACTATATACGATACTGTATACTATACTATATACTATATACTTTATGTACTATATACTATATGCTATATGCTATATGCTATATACTATATATTACATACTCTATACTGTACTATACTATACTATATGCTATACTATAGTCCCGAAACCCTTTGGCAGCGGATCTCCTCGCCGACTGACGGCCAGGATTCGGCAACCTGGAGGACCTCGGACAGCGATGCGAGGCGGCTTTGAAGAGTGCCTACGAATACTGATATACTGATAGTAATGATTACAAGAATGATTATAAGAACCATTACAATCATAATCATAATAAAACGTATTCTTTTAGTAACAATAACAAGGGTTTAGGGTTTAGGGGATAGGATAACAATAGTAACAACAACAATATTCACAACAATTATTTCTATTACTGTTGTTATTGTACGCATTATACTCACTAGTTGTATTGTCAGGGCTATGATCACTGTCACTGTTATTGTCATTATTACGATACTAGTAAGATAACGGTAAATTTAACAAGAATAACGGTACACTGCTAGTCGAGCCGCCGCTTCCTGCTTTGCAAGGCTGGCCTCATCTTCCGCCGAGCCTTCGAGAGAGCAGAAGGAATAACATAGTATAATATACTATAGTACAGTCAATACAGCACAACATAATATATGCTAAAATTAACAGAGCGTACATGATATAACATGGTATAGTCCTGTGGTGGAGAGTCTGGGCGTTCTGCTGTTTCGTGTGGCCGAACCCCAGCAACCCTCTGCAAGCTCCGCCAGCTGTTGCACGGCCACGCCACCTGCGACAGGTCGGAAACAACCCATGAGCGAAAGCTTCGCGACCATCAAACCCCACCTCGACCCCGTGGCTTCACCGGCCGTGACGACAGCTTCGAACGCTGGAGAAGCCGGCAACGCTCGCCTCAGGCAGTTTGGGGATAACAGCCGCTGCCGGGAGCAACAAGATTGTGGCAGGCTTTGTGGTAGTGCAAGCGTCCGCACTGCGCATTCCAAGAGGAGGGATGCAGAGAGTTCGAAAGGCCGTGGAGCTTTTCGGTGGACTGTTTGAGACGATCTGCTCTGTACACGCAGCACAGAGGAATCATTAACCCGGTGCCAGCCGGAATTCAGCAACTTTCGGATCAGTCTCTTAAGCTTCTTGCAGTTGCCACCACTCCGCTGCCATGGCTATGTTGAGGCTTTCGAGTATCTTTGACGTGTAGGCACGGAAAGCCGCTTGAAGACGTGTCTCCGGAACCGAAAGCTGCTCACTCCGCTTCGCCGACTGCCTCGGCAACGGAGACTCGTAAAGCGTCGCAACGTGAGCTCTCTTAGATCTTGCCCAAGATGCGACATGGGCGAAAGACTATCCGGATCGCCTGCAGAAGGATGAAGATACGCAGGGCGCTGATGTCTGATGAGACTGGTTGCGCAAGGCAAATGCCTAATATCTCACCATGCCGACCAAGGCTAGAAGAACAGCTCCCAGGAATCGGATTCGAATCTTATTTAGGCATGCCAGACAGGAAAAGCTCACCTGAACAGCCTACGACTGGCGCCTCATCTTCAGGAACGGATGTCTCAGAGCTGCTTCTGCCGATGATCGCTTGGCGGGATCAGGCACCAAACATGCCTGCGTAAGAAGGTCTGCGAAAGGCTCCAGCAGGACGTCCTTCATTGTCATGTTGCAAAGTCAGACAGTACAGTCACTGGCCGTAGACCCGCTTGAACAGCACACATGCACCGTCAGTCCTGCACCACGTTCCGCAAGCGTGTTGGAACAGGCTGGCTTGGCGCGGTGAATTGAGACATCGACAGCTGCTGCCTCGAAAGCGAGTCAGTTCTAGACACCACGATTATGATTGCCCTTGGCAATGGCAAGCGGGAAACTAGCCCCAAACCTCAAACCCACAGACTCCAATACCCCTTAATTAAGGAATATACCTTAAATTATGGTAGGATCCCTAATATGATTTAAGGTATATTCCTTAATCAAGGGGTATTGGAGTCTCTGGGAACCCCAAACCGTTTCGGGATAGTCTGCAGCTAGGACACTCCGAGCCCGACTTTGTGCGGCGGCGGAATGCACCCTGCAAACGATGGCTTGGCACTATGATCTGCAGGGGCCGTAATAATTAGAATAGGGTTTAGGGTTTAGGGCTTAGAATAGGGTTTTGGGCCCTTTCGTAGTATTCTTATAGTAAGAGGAACCCTACGAACTCGTTTGCACGGCAGAGAAAGGGGGCGAAGTGGAGGATTAACGATCATGGCCAATAGCACCAGCCAATGCTGTCAACCTTGATCGACACTGAGGTCAGAGACAACCATTTTGCTCCATGCAACATGCAGGTTGAGTTGAACATGCACTCCGTCCATCAATCAACAAGGAGTCATTCGAATCTACGTCCTCCCAAACCCGGTTACCCAACCGCAGGACATGAGTTGCAGGACCACCTGAGTGGTGAAGTGCTTGAGCGCATGCTTTCCGGATACTGCGAACTGCTTCTTGAAAGCGCCGCAGGTACGAAGAATATCCTTTGTTCAGGGAGATAGCCCGGTCAAGCTGCAGCTGAAGCACTTCGGCTGAACTCCATCTAGGTCACGAGTAGCATCGCGTTGTTCGCAGCTTCCTTGTGCCAGCTCGAGCATGCCATGTAAAGACGCGGAATTCTACCAGCTAGCCGCTCGCAGAGTGGTGTCATGTTGTAGCCTGTTCTCTTGAGGGCGTGACGGGGAAGAGAACATGTCCCGAAGCAAGCTCAAAAAGAGTCGCTCCAGCACTCCACATGTCCGCCCGGGTACTGAACCTCTGCTGCAGTCTTTTTGAAGGAGATTCGTCAAGCCAAATATGCTTTACTGTACTATACTATACTATACTATACTATGCTATACTATGCTATGCTATGCTATGCTATGCTATGCGGTAGAATACTGTGTTTTACTGTTGCAAACTGTCTTATTACTGTATTATATTCTAGCAAAAGACTGGAGCCTCCAGGGCAGTGCAGACCAGCTGCGACTGGCCGAGAATGATCTCGGGTGGTCGGTAACCTTTGTCCAGCAGGAGCTTCATGTGACATAATGTAATAAAACTTTAGTATACTGATACAGAATATCACAGACCATAATGTCCCATAACATCATACACGCATGTTGATACCATGTGGGTGGTTGTCCAAATTATGGTCCTTTTTGGGGTCCTTATTATAATACGGCACCTATTATTTAGGGTGCCCCAAAAAGGGACCATAATTTTGACAACCACCTACCCTAAACCCTAAACCCTAAACCCTAAACCCTAAACCCTAAACCCTAAACCCTAAACCCTAAACCCTAAACCCTAAACCCCTATGTAGTATAATACCCGTGGTATCGACTCTTGGGTCTCCGGCTGCTTGCATAAGCTCTCCGAATGTGGGCCGCCTGCATGGACTCCTGGGTATCGATGGCACCTGAGCTCTGTGCTGTGGATCGGTTCTTAGAAGTGACTGGAGATGGAGGGTTTAGGGTTTAGGGTTTGGAGTCAGAATCAGCATCATGCGCCTGCAGTGCCGAGCCACATCCAAAGTCTGACAGCTTCACCGAATCTTTATCCAAGGACAGCAGGAGATTATCGGGCTTGATGTCGGTGTGGATGATCCTGACAGGAACGGCATATTACAGTATGTTGCCTTATCTTGTATCATGCACTATACGATGTTACAGTTTGCTACCTTCTACTAAACTCTACTATACTTCACTGTGATTTACTATGCTGCGCTACGCTCTAGTATGCTGTAATATACTTTATATATATATATATATATATACATGTTAAGTTACAATATATGATGTTCCATGACAACAGATTCGACGTATTTTGTTTCGACAGCTTGCATTATGCAATAAGGTACCATACTCTACTGTAGCATACTGTGCTATACTTTATTGTTTTACATATTGTGTTATAACATTTTTGTGATACTATATTGCACGATATTATCTTATACCATATCTTCTCATATTTTTCACATCATACCCTAGAATATCGTATCATACTGCATTATATCAGGCTATGTCAATTATAGTATACTTCTATGTTGTACTATGCAGTATTACAACATACAGTATTGCACTATAACATATTGTATCATATCGTAGTATATTGTCTTTACTATATCACATTGCACTATTATATAATATACTATATTACACTGTACTATAGTATATTTTATTGTACTCTAACATGCTACTTTAGTATATAGTATCAGAATATGTTAATTATACTTTATTATGTTACGGCATGTCATACTACAGTAGAATCTAGTGAATCTAGTATATTATATTGCGTTGTATTTCATTGCAAAGCAACGCGTAAATTAACCTCTCTTTAGCGGCCTGATGGCCCAGAGAGCCCTCAAAGCCAAGAGGACGTTGCCCGCGTAGCGCTGAACGTCCTTCTGTCGGTTTACGGGTCGAAGAGTTTAGGGGTTTAGGGCTTCCGGGGGTTAGGGTTTGAGGGCTTAGGGTTTAGGGGTGGGGCCCGCTTGAAGATGCAAGCCACGACTGAAACGGCGAACTCTGTACATTGCACATCCAAAGTTGCAAGCGATGACTGGCCTTCAACGGGAATCCGCTGTTTTTTTCTTGGACTTGTCGTTTCAGTGCGCTTCGCATGTCGTAGCGCCTGGGGCAATGAGAACAGGAGCACTGCTGATCTGTGCCTCGAGAGCGCACAAGAGGCCTGTGACTCAGAACATTTTCTGTCAGTCGAAGTATATCAGTATACCATATGGTAGTCTTTAAATTATCATAATTTCGTAGTAGAGTATGTCGAATTGCAGCAGCTTAGTTTACCTCAGTTTAAGTTGATAGTTTACTGATGCAAAAGCTAAACGAAGGTTTCTGCTTTAGGAGTTCCAGGCTTGCTTTGTTTCGGGTTTTGGGGTTTGGTTTTAGGGTTTAGGGTTTAAGGTTTAGGTTTTAGGGTTTAGGGTTTCGGGTCCACCATCCTCCCCAGTTTAGCAGAGGGCTCTTTCAAGATTTAGGGAGGGTTTGGGGTTCAGGGACTCTCTGGTGCTGGCATGTGGGAGGGAAACTGAGACGGCATCTTGCTGACAAGCTGCTGCAGATGGAAGACGAGGGCCAGGTGCCTTGTGCAAAGCTGAACTGCGCCGGTGATATCGGATCTTAGAACGACGATCCTCTTACTAAGGGCTCTACACAAGGGTGCCCTGTTCTCTGAAAGTCCGCACAGTACAGGAAACCTTAAAACCCGAAACAGCTGGACTTCTGATGCAAAGGCAAGCCACCCGTTGTGGAGAAACGTCTCCTGCCACAACAAGCCGACTGCTTCAGGCTCTCATTCTCGTGCCATACTAATACCGCTACTGAGCACTAAAACTAAGACGAATACCAGTACTAATCCTAAGCACTAGGATTAGGTCGCCAATAGGCAAGCTAACGTTGGAAATCGTGGAAATCATTTAATTAGGGAAATAATCCGAAACAAAAGCAAACTAAATGGAGAAACCGAAATGCAAAACAAATGGGAAAAAAAAGTAGCAGAGAAGGAAACAAGAAGCAAAAAAAAAAAGGAGATGGCAAGGAAGCCGACAGCAACACCGAGGCCAAACAAAAGGAACAAAAAAGGAGAAAAAAAATGATAATAAAAGAAAAAACAAAGGAGAAAACAAAAAACAAACACCCGGAGAAGAAACAGGAAAAGCAGAGGACCAAACGCAGTTTCTTCCCTTTTAGTTTCCTTTTGGTTGGCCTTTTCTTTTCCTTTTCTGGGCCACTTTGGGGGTCCCAATTCCTTTTTTTCCTAATTTTCTATTTTTTCCTAATTTTTCTTATTTTTTAATATTTTTCTAATTGTTTCCTAATTGTTTCCTATTTTTCCTATTTTTTTTACTATTTTTCCTATTTTTCCTAATTTTATACTATTTTTAATCAAAAACCTAATAAAACCCAGAAAACCTAAAAAAAAAAAAAGCACCTTTTGGACCCTTGTTCTTACCATTTTCCTGTTCCTTTTTTTTTTTACCCTTTTTCGTTCCCATTATTTTTCTTTTTGTTTTCCCTTTTTCGTTCCCATTATTTTTCATTTTTCCCCTAGTTCATTCCCATTATTTTTGCTTTCTCTTTACATGGTTGCTTTTTTTGCGTTTATTATGCATTTCTGTTTGCAATATTTTTGAATTATTTTCCTAAAATAAATGTTTGGAAACCTTCCCAATGGTAGCTCCTATCGGCGACATAACACTAGGACTAAGGCCAAAAACACTACCAATAAGGCAATATCCTGCCATCAGCTTTTGCACTTACGGAATCGCTTCATAGTCGAAGCCAAACACACTCTAAACCCTAAACCCTAAACCCCTAAACCCTAAACCCTAAACCCCTAAACCCTAAACCCTAAGCCACAGCAACTCTGACTCTACCAAGGAGCGAGGTTCGCCAGGCCGAGCAGGAAGGCCGCACCCTGCGCTCAGCTGCTGCTTTTTAACAAGTCTTTTGAGGGTTTAGGGTTTAGGGTTTAGGCTGGCGAAAGATGAAGAATGGCAGAAAGGCGCGCAACGGCCTGCTGGCATGCTTCGACAGTTTGGCCTCTTAACCAACTACATCTCTGACTCCTGTTGAAATTGGCATTCTTTCTGCGTGCAGCTACATTAGATGGCAAGACGTCCAGGACGTAGTCCTGCAGTCGAGGCTACAGGTACCGCGCAGTCCATCATGAAAGTACAATGTACAGTCAACTGAGATCGGCTACCCGGCTGTCGGGAAGCTCTACATGACGATGTCGTGTGCAAGTCTTATCACATGAAGTTGGTGCTGCGACATCCTCAAAGCATGATTATGACGCCGCTTGAAAATGGGTGCGGGGGGGGGGGGCGGGATTCACGGGCGGAAAATGCATTCTGCAGGAAGAAGATTCAAGCGATAATGTCCCGTGACCATGCGAACTGAGAGTCTGACCCAGGTACTGTAGAGGCCATAATGACTAGAATACGGTTTTGGGCTCCCTAGCTCCTTTATAGTATAATTACAAGAAGGAGCCCCTAAGGAATACTATCGGTATTTATTTAGGCTCCTAGAGTACGCAGCACCCAAGTAACCGTGCGCTCAAGATCTGTATGACATCTAAAGCATGAACGGCAAGTTTGCCTCGGAGTCTTTCTCCACTGCCTGCAGCTGCTGAAACGAAGCGAGCAAACTCAGTCCAGTTCGCGAAGCCAAGAAACAGTTCGATCATGTTCGGGCAAGATGCTCTTGTGCGGATGCGGCGCATGAGCTTGACCTCCACCCTCAGCAGTTACGAGACTGGCCAGATCTCGCAATTTGGAGGCATCGGGGAGTAACGTGGCGGATGCCTTCTCCAACCAGTGTCCATTGTGTCACTCTTACAGGACCATGTATGTCTGTCATGCAACGCTGCATTCGCGCTGGATCTGATGATTGCGCATGGACTTATCTTGTTCCATCTATGTTGACCTTGACAGGGTCTCGCTAATTACAGAGCGCCACAGCAAAACTCACCTGCAGCAGTAGCCCGCGTCTTCACTCTTTCTGGCAGCTGAAGGCCGATACTATATCTAGTCTGCAGCATATAGTATGTAGTGTATACAGTGTGTATAGCATATGTAGTATACACATTACATGTAGTAGAGAAACTATATATGCATATAGTTTATATAGTAGAAATAGTATGTAAAGTATAGATAGTTTCTACAGTATACATATATAGTGTATATATCGTATATGGAGGATATACAGTATCATATATATATACACACATAGCATCTGTAGTATAGATTAGAATATCTACATCTATATAAAATGTTTATATTAGCAGTGTATATATAATATGCTCTATGTGTGTATATATATATATATATACGTGCACAGAGAGAGAGAGAGAGAGAGAGAGAAAGAGAGAGAGAGAGAGGGAGAGGGAGAGAGAGAGAGAGAGAGACGGTGTGTGTGTATAGAGAGAGAGAGAGAGGGTGCGTGTTCGTATATATAGAGTATGTATGTATATGTATGTATGTATATATATATATATTGTATAGGATATAGTATTTAAACAGCAATTACAAAACACTTCTGGCCCTGAGACCAGAAGGTGTCTCATTGCAACCAGGAGTCTCTGTTGCTTTTCGCAGGCCGGGATTGTCACGAATGAACTTGACGGCATATTCCTGAAAGGCTCTGCGGAAAAGGGAGCTGGGAGAACATGAAGATGACAACTCAGCTTCTCTGGATGTCCTTGCCGCCGCCCTTGGAATCTGAACAGCGGTAAACACTGCTGAATGAGCCTTCAAGCTTGACATCAGGAGTTGAACTCCTTGAAAAAGCAGTCACCCAAGTCACCAGCAAATCGATCAACATCTTTCTGCTTTCCCAGAAGACTGGGCCGGCCTCTACCAAGCGGACCTTCAACTAGGAATCGGTTGCCAGGGCCACAAGGTTCACCTGTTCCAGAACATAGGGGTTTTGCTGAGCGTTGCTTCACAGTAAACGCCTTCTACGAACGAGATCGCGGACGCCACAACTGCCATTGAGTAAAGAGGCAAATACGGAAAGTCATGGCATAGTGCACATGGAAGGGCGCACGTGCCATGATTTTGTCTTTGTACTGCTTTGCCTCGATCGGGTGGGAGCCCTGCTTCTAGAGAAAAGATCACATCGAAGCTTGACGCAGCGTCGTCTTTGTCTTCATTTATGTCTATATTCCTTTACATATGTGTGCGTATATATATATATATACACACACACACATTTGTCTAATTAGTTCAATTGTGTCCGTGTGTATATATATATATATATGCCTCCGGGCCATGGGCTATGCATGACACTGTCTCATGGTTCCTTTCAGACACTTCCAGTTAGGCTTCAACTTCGACGCGTCTTTACAAGTCAGAACTTGTCCTTGTTGGGTCCACTTCCGCGTCTATTTTTGCAAAGTCCACAACCCTGCACTTGCCAGGAGGGGTAGGGAGATGGAAGTGAGGCAGAAGGGTCCAACACCAGCTTCGTCAGGGGCTGCTGTCCATTTCTTGCACAGACCGGAAAATTCGCAAGTCATGGACAACGCACTTGTACAAGCAGGGCGAAGATTTCCCTTGACCATGCTTTGCTGAAAAGGACCTAGGATGGCACCGACCATCACACGTAAAAAGAAGCACTGCGCAGACCTTTGAGGATTTGCAGCAGACACTGCCATGCTGCAGTACAAACTACTTCCTTAGTCAGCACTTCAACCCTTAGTTGTGGTTCCCAAGGCATCCGCGGACAGCAAATCCCAGCACGACACCGGTTAGGTGTGGAGCTTCAAATTCATTGCGATTAGAGCTCGGCCACGTCACTTAGTGACGAGGTGAGGAGAGGAACGGCAAGATGCAAGGTCATGTCATATCAGCTTCACTTGATATAGGGCCCTTAATTATTAGAATAGGATTTTGGGGCCCATAATACTATAATTATAATAAGGACCCCCCGAAATGATGCAGGCAATTATTGAGGCCCCTAAACTATTATTCTTTCAATTTAGGTTTGACGGACCTTGCACGAAAAAGGTTCACTTCTGCGGCATCTGATGTGACGAGCGGTGCTCACCACAGAAGACATTGCTTGTGATACTTGCACGGTACAGAACCGTACCAACCGTCCGACAACCCTAAACCCTAAACCCTAAACCCCTAAACCCCTAAACATTCCACATTTACGGCAGCTGCGATTCAAAAGAGCTGGGCTCCAGGCAAGGCCTGCTCTAATTTCTACTCGCTCGAAGACTTGAACCGGGGCATCACTGGTGTAGACTGTGCCCCGACTGCCCCGACCTCGCACATCAAGCATCAGCTCAGGATTCTGCACCGAGTTGTGACATTTGCGACCGTCTTCAACCCTAAACCCTAAACCCCTAAACCCCTAAACCCCTAAACCCCTACACCCCTAAACTCTAAACCCCTAAACCCCTAAACCCCTAAACCCTAAACCCCTACACCCCAAACCCCTAAACTCTAAACCCCTAAACTCTAAACTGTCTGCAAGGCCCAGTGACCAAAGAATCCTCTGGAGACACCTTCGCAGCAGCAGCGGCTCCTGGCTCCAGCTCAATGGTTATGGTTTAGGGTTTAGGGGTTTAGGGGTTTAGGGGTTTAGGGTTTAGGGTTTAGGGTTTAAGGGTTTAGGGTTTAGGGTTTAGGGCGTGTGGTTTTGATTACTTTATTTTTCCTGCATGCCTGGGCTTCTCAATCCTAAACGATCTTCGATGGGTGGATTCCTGTGTAATTAACCTCTCACGCCCCCCTTCCCTCCCAGACAAAGTGCACCCAAAGCGAGACCTTGCACAACAGCGCACTCAAGTCATGGCACAGTGCATGAATTGCTGCAACCACCGGATCTGACCCCCTGGCACACCACCATGCTTGAACTCTAATGGCCGCTGGACCTTACGTCCCTCCGACAGGCAGCTATCAGGTAGGTCGCGACACTGCACATGGTGCTCCGAATACGCTGTCATCGCCATCCAGCTAACTAGGAAACATGGGAAATTAGGGCCAAACAGGGGTTGGGCTTAACGTGAATGCTATACATGGATCATGGTGGACTCGCCCAGCTCGCACCACTTTTTATATCCAGGCTCGAAGAATGTCCACGCAATCTTCGTGAACCTAAAGTCTTGCATACCCCATTCGGCCAAAGTCTTGCGAAGGGCCACACCCCGGCGAGACTGTGGCCGAAGGCCAAACAGTGGAAGCACTTCCACACAAAACATTTCACTCCTCCAGCTTGGGGGCAAGATAATTCTTGAGGTGTCCCTTGTCCTCGCTCTCCAGGTCGCACTGCACCAGCAATGGGGCATCCCTGCCAAGCCGAGCGTCACACAGCCACAGAGCGAAGCGGCCTTGGGGAGTTCACCAAGTAGCGCAAGGAAAAAGTTGCTTTCGTTGGGTCATGGTCATGTTGACATTGACCTCCGGGCTCCTGCTCTGATGCTTCAGCAGGACAGTCCTGCTACCGGTGCCGTCACCTGGAATTTCCGGCCCTCCTTGCTGCCACGAAAAACTGCAGAGTTTCCACAAACTCCTTAAGCTCACGGCAGATCTTTTGAAATTGGGAGGAGGGCAGCTTGGCGATGACTTTGTAGTGCTGCTCAGGGATCTCCATGCACTCACTCTCGATCTGCGTTATCTTCATTTCTCCTCACACTGGAAGACCACCACGTCCGAGTCGACCTGGTGTCGCATCTTAAGCTCATTGCGTTCAGGATCGTTGTCAAGGAATCCATGTCCATTCCCAAAGATGCCGGGCGATCGCATCTGAAGTGTGTGAATGCTGAATCTTTCACTGTCGATTGGACCAGGGCGACATGTGAGCTATCCATCGACATCACCTGGATGCCCCGCGCAGAGCTATCAAACATGACGTCCTTGCCCAAATCCTTCATAGCATCCACGAGCTTTTTTAGAAGACCCTCATTTGGCAGCTGTGCGACGAGGCTCATAGCGAACGCCGATGCTTTCCAAGACTCTTCAACCCTGTGATCCCTGGTGCCTTGAGCCAACTAGGTGAAGGGCCTAGGGTTTAATGCTATGCTGGCTATGTAAGCATACAGAATCGCTGCAGCAAGGAATAGTCAGAGACAGGTAAGCCCTAAACCCTAAACCCTAGACCCTGGTGAAACGACAAACCCGAGGCGAGCGCCTTTCTGGGGCAGGAATCGACGTCCAAGCGATGCCAGCCACGTCAGCGGCTTGCTGGTGTTGGAAGTCGCTGACGCTACGCTGTAGTTGGTCTTCGCCTTTGCCTGCTTGGAGCGCGCTGAGCCTAAACATATCATACGGGCATTCATGATTAGAATAGGGCCTTGGGGTATGATATACTATACTTGTATGGGGGCCGCAGGAGGACATGAAGGCGACTTATTAAGACCCCCCCTACTGCTATGTATTGTAATCGTACCGAACACGCTCCTACTGCTATTACTTCTACTAGACTAGACGAGACTAGCCGCTAGCCTGGCCTAGCAAAGACTAGCCTGGCCTAGCAAAGACTGGCCTGGACTCGCCGGGACGCTATACAATACTCGGCAGTTGCGTCCAACTCGCTGCACCCACAATCTGATGTAATTTTCCTGAAATCTTATTTATTATTGAGGTCCCTATTCTTTAAGGTAGCATAATCATATCGAGGCCCCGGTACTGTAAGGTAGCACAATTTTCAGGCCCCCTATGCTTTAAGGACTATTTCTTAATGAAGCGCACCCTTGCGCTATCTCCGAGACCTTCCCCAGCCCCTGAAACCCTAAACCCTAAGC